AAAAAAAAACACTGGGTGGATCTTTATCATTATAGGGTGGTTGTGAACACACATGGCCAACACACATTTCAGTTCAAACAACTTGTAAAAGTGCATGTAGCATCCAATGACCCCTTTAAGTTTATTCACAACTTAATATCTATGAACATAATATGTGCCGCACTTATTAGAATTTTGAATTTATACAAATGTTTTTTACAATTTTTATGTAAAAAAAATACCTAGTGCTGTGCCAAGACAATCATATATCATTTTAATTTTAGTTAAAGGTTTAGTCATTTTATTGTGTAAAGATGGTTTTACTCGTTGTTGTATCCAATATCAAATTAAAGGAAAGTAGCATGTGATTTATTAGGTTTATTAATAACTTAAATCTCTATGAACATAATACGTGGCACACTGTAATTTAATTACAATTTTGCTCTTTATACAAAAAAAAAATGTTTTTGTAAAAAGAACAGAAAACATTTACAATACATAGAGCTGTACAAATACAATCGTATATTGTGATTATTTTTCTTATGATACTGCATCAATACCTACATTTTTTATCTTTATTTATGAATTTATTTATCTGTGCATTCATACAATTCTCTAGAGTTTAATTAATACAGAAGAACTGAAAGTGCAATCTAAAACTTCTATTTTTCAGGAAAACTTTTTCACAACTTGTGAAACTTTTATTTTATATTTAAAATGACAGAAAAGTAGGTAGCAGGGTTTTAGCTGTTCAATAAATGTACCCAATCAGTGTTTGTACTAAATCTACTTCTTACCAACATAGATGATGCATTTCTTCCCCATCGGTGGCCCAAACACGCCCTTGCGGCGGCGGTCCAGCTTAGACATGATGATGTCCTGGGTTTGGTTGGCAGAAGTCCGGGCGGAGAAGTTGATGCAGATGGGAGTGTAGCGCTCCTTGGGAAGCGACATCAGGAAGTTGTTGTTTATCACAGACTTTCCGGTTCCTGTGGGTCCCACGATCAGTATGGGCACCTCATGTGACAGATACGTCCTGAGGAAGAAGAGCTGGCGTGACGTTTCTGCCGTGGGTATGATAAGATCAGACACCTGAGAGAGAGACACAGACATCAAAGGTAGAAAGAGAGTACTTTACCCTGTGAGTACATTACCCTGTGTGATTTTCCTTTGGTTCATTCAACACTCTATATGTTTACTTATGTATTTAGAATTAACATTTAGATTAATTTTTAGAGTTTATGTTTATATTAAAGATTTACTTTTAGATTTAACTTTTATTTTTAATATTTAAATTTATATTTTTATTGCTTTTTTTAATACAAGTATATAAAATTGATTTTTGAAAACTGTTAAAAATTGAAATTTGGAAAAACTGGTTTCTGTTTTTAACTCTCTTTTGCAAAAAATAAATTTACTTATTCTATAAAATGCACAATTATCCCCTAAATACTATTATAGTTTTTATTAATATTTTGAATTTTGTATATATTTAGATTTTTTTGTTGTTTTTATTTCGATTTTAGTTACATTTTTTGTAACTTTTTGTATTTTTTTTTAAATATGGCTATACAGTTTTATTCATTTTTATTTAAGTTTTAGTTTTTGGTATTTTAGTACATCAAGTTAAACCAAATGAAAATAAGAAATGTCGTCTGGGGCAGCTAGCTGAAATAAAATAAACGTTTTAAGTTTTTTTTATATTTAATTTAATTTCAGTTAACAAAAATGTTGGTTTTAGTTGCGGTTTTATAGTTTTAGTTAACTCTAATAACCCTGATTTTTGTGAACTAACTTTTGCGCCGGCAGGTATGACTTTGTCTTCTTTAGTGATGGATTCGGTCCAGTTGTTCCACTGACCGGGACCCTGCTTATGGAAATAATAATCATAGACGGTGCCTGTGTGGAGAACAGAACAAACAGACAGCAGACAAGATTCATAAACATGTTTTTAAAATGATTGTATATGACTCTTAGCATTGACTTTTGGTTTTATCAGGTTCTTTATGCATAAAAATATCCTCTGTTGGAATCCACTAAAAAGTTAATAATCCACAGGGACTGGGAATAGGAATTATGAGAAAATAGTTACATATTCTGCTTGGGCCTGGGAATCACAATTGTCCTATATTTACAGATTTTACATGACCATAGAAACCCTGTCATTAAAAGTCAACCAAAAACATTATGTAGACCTCTCTCTGGGAACACGTTGCTCTTGGTGAGTTTCACACTCTGGGGTCGCGGGTGATCGGTGTTTGTGCCCATGATAAGGTTTCGGTAGAAGATGTCAAACTTCTTCCTGCTGTTGCCGTTGATGGTTCCTCCCAAACTCCAGACCACAGCGAACACGAACAGGGCCTGAAACCACAGCGTCACCTGCTGACTCGTCATAGATTCTGCTCCTTCCTGTCCTGACTGAAAAATCTCATCTGCACAATAAAATGTGACATGAGCAAACAGATCCCAAAATGATTGAAGATATGTATAATGTACATATTTTTATGTGCATGTACCTAGTAGGCAGGTATACAGGCACATCAGACTATAGGCCAGGTGAATAGGTGATGTCTGAACTAAGAATCCACACTCATGGTAAATAAAGTCCAAACAAGGTTGAACCAGCCAGTTAAAGAGATCAGTAATCTAAAACAAAACACACACAGGGGATCATTACATTCAGAAATGTTTATTATTTTAACAGCATGTGCACGATCCTTCTCACCAGGGTTCTGTGCTCATCTGCCAGGGTCTCAGGTAATGTGTTCATGTAGGAGTCTCTCAGAGGCATCCAGCCCAACTGATGCGGCTCCATGTAGATCATACCGCATCTAAACATAACACACACACATACACTCTCTATGACAAGACAACAAACACATTGAAATAAAAAATAAAAAAACACTTGGAAAGTAAAACCAAAAGCAAATGTTATGCACATATGAATGTAGGGAGAGTCTATTAACAGGATTTTTAAAAATCATTTTATACATTTTATATGTTTAATATAAAAATTAAATATGCTATTGCTAATAAAAAAAAATTGGAAGAAAATTAATGGGCTCTGTATTGTTTTACTTTAACAATGTAGAGCTGAGTGTTCGTTGTTCACCTGCTCACAGTAGCGGGTGACGCCTGCTCCAGATCCGCAGGCTCAAAGATCAGACTCATTTTAGGACTCATCTGAATGATCTCACCACTCATCAGGCACAGCTGTTCAACAGCAAAACACATCAGACACCAGCACTGAACCTCAAGCGCTTCAGACATGTTCACTGCAATATTAAAATGTAAATGTACCTTCTTGTTATCGTCCAAAACGGTGTTCATGTTCTCAATCCAGACCGCGTCGATGGGCCCATCGAATATGATCCACTGGCGGTCGTCTGCGGTGCACTGGGCCTGTTGTCTGAATGAGGTGGCCAAAACGCCGTCTGACCACTCGTGACTCACTGGATCAAAACAGCCATACAGCTGCCCCATAGTGATCGCCTTCGGATTAATGATGCGGAAATCTACCGCAAACTCTTCCATCAGACCTTCTATATAGACAAATAACATACGCACATACTTGGTTATGATTCCATGTCATTTCAGCACATCATATTTGTACACAACTGTTCAAAAATTTAAATAATTTTGAAAAAGACGTGTCTCATGTTCACCAAGGCTGCATTTATTTGATGAAAAATAGAGTAAAAACAGCAATATTGTGAAATATTACTGTAGTTTCAAATAATTGTTTTTATTTGAATATATTGTAAAATGTAATTTATTGCCGTGATCAAAGCTGAATTTTCAGAATCATTATTCCAGTCTTCAGTGTCACATGATCCTTCAAAAATCATTCTAATATGCTCATTCACTGCTCAATAAACATTTTTTTTTATTCTCAATGTTGAAAACATTGACAGTTTTTGCTGCTTAATATTTTTTGTAGAAACTGTGTTTCACTACTATTCAAAATTTGGATTAGGTTAGATTTTTAAAAGAATTTAGCTCTGCCATTTCACAATTTACTGTTTTTACTGCATTTTTGATCAAATAAATGCCATCTTGGTGAGCAGAGAGACTTCTTTTAAGGACATTAAAAATCTTAATTATTCCAAACTTTTAACCGGTAGTGTGTATGAACACAAAAAAAAAATAATGAAAGAATAAAGAATAAAAATATTATGGATTGATTACCCTTATAAAGGTCTCCCAAAGCTCCAGCCAGAACTTTATAAGCTGAAGTTTTTCCACCCATAGGCTCGCCAACAATCATAAAGCCGTGTCTGACCAGCATCATCTCGTACACCTGCACACACGATAAAATTGATCAACTGATTACTTTTTTCATTTAACAGTTTCAGCTATAAAAACAAGCCTCAGTTCTCAGTTCAATATTATAAAATATAGCTTTTCTTTTTGTAAGAACTTCAAATACAACTCACCCAATCAGATTATAGTGTTTAAACTCAATTGAATTTACATTTACATTTAGTCATTTAGCAGACTAAATAATTAAATTAATTAATTAATTAGCACAGAATTTTATAATAGTTTTATATTTAAAATAGCAGTGCTCAAATATAAACTACCTTCTAAATGTTTAAATCTAAAGGCAAAATTTGAGAAACCAAAAAAATATGAATGATTATAAAGACGTGACAGATTGAGTAGATAGATGAAATGGCATTGAGCAGATTTTGTACTTGTATAATTTTGCCAATGAACCACGGTACAGGCTGCAGTTTCATCTTGGCGATGTTGTCATCCAAAGCTTTTAACAGTAACTCATAATCTGGTTTGGGCAGCACCACTCCAGGAAACAGATCAGTGATGATTCCCTAAAACACACAAACACAAATCAATAACCACATGCAAAGTCATACAAAATGAATATGTAATTGGCATCTACACACCTGAAACAGTGGTAAATCCTGCGCGAGGAACTTGGCCATGTTGACATCCATGAGAGCTCTGAGCAGCAAAACGCTCTCGTCCTCTTCTGGGTATTTGAGTTTCAGGTTTCCCGCCGCAGTCAGGACTGATTTTACCGCACGCATCCCATAATCGTAGTGCGGTTGAGACGAGAGCTGCTCAGAGCACAGGCGATACGTCGCCACGATCTTCTGAGCCAGGCTGGAAAACACAAAACAACGTGAAACAACTGGAACCTTTTCCGCAAAATTAAATATGAATTAGTTTAACTGTTTGACTAGAAATTATTTTACCTCCGGGATGCTGTGAATCCCATCGAATAAAGTGATATCTCTCCAATCAGTCCATAATCTGGAACCATCATTGCAACTGTACGGAACAAAGCCTACAAACATGCAAATACATACACACAAAACTTAAATAAATATATAAATGAATGAATGAATGGACCATGGCATAAGAAAACAATTTCCCGTAAAACTCTAATTTATCTCAAAATGAGCCAAAAAAACAGGAAGCAAAGTTACAAGATGGTGTATTTCTATGAAATTGTGCATGAGCGTGTTTGTTTTTGGTTACTTTCAGGTTATCAGGCAGCTCTGCTCTGCCTGCGTATCCTGGGTTCATGGTGATAAACACACAGCAGGTCGGATTGAGAGAGAGCTCGGTTCCCTCGAACATAAATGTCTTCATGTTTCGCATTATGGCCTGCTGAATACTCAAAATCTGCTGGGCGACCACAGACAACACCTCTACCTGACAGAGTGCAACAAACAAGGAGAGACAAACTAATAATTGTTAACTATAAAGTAGTATTAGTTTAATTTACTAATTTGGCTGTCACATCATTACCGACCTCTATCCGGTTGAACTCGTCGAAACATGCCCACGCTCCGGACTGTGCTAGACCCTTGAAAAATTTACTCATCGCTTTGTAGTCCAGACCATCAGAACAGTTGAACACCACACACTAAACACACATTTACACACACACTTATATTTGTCACTTACATACAATAAAATGAACTTATCAGAATTACCTGAACCAGCATAATCAGTGTTTAGACTGAAATAGTAGCTTTATATATGTCGTAAAAAAATATTGTGAGCACCTGCTTGGCGAGCGCTTTGGCCAGATCTTTGGTCGTCTCTGTTTTTCCAGTTCCCGCAGGACCTTCTGGAGCTCCGCCAAGATTCAGCTTCAGAGCGCCCATCAGAGTCCTGTGGACCAATCAGCATTCAGTAGGTATGTTTACATGCACTTTTTTTCTATCAGTCTTTTTTTTTTACAAAGAGAAAGTCTGAATTTGTGTCTGAAGTAAATATTTAGTAAATATCGACTGACCAGTTCGTAAGACATAAATAAACGTACTCATGTTCATATGTTGTAAAGCGTATGAAAAGCTCTGCCTCATGGCACTGACGTAAGCAAGATATTTTTGAATCAGATTGAGAAAACAGTCTCTGTACTTGTATTCTTCACAATGGCATTTAGAATGATCATAATGAAATATTATCAAACACATGCTAACACATATTATATGTCAGAGCACCTGTAGCAGCGGTCAGTTAGTGGTGTTATGACCAGACGTGGTGAGTTGCCGAGATATTCGTATCCGTATCTGATCACGGTGGTGATCATCCGCAGCATGACCTCTCCGTCCTCCCAGAAATACCGCAGCTGGGAAATCCACTGGAAATCATTTAGAGATGAAATGCCATCCTGTGCCAGCTTGCACACAACATCACGTGCTGCATGGGATAAAGAGGCAAAGCTCATGAACTATACAGACAATACAGAGACAACATGCCAGGATGACACTTACCATGAACATCAATGACAATAAGAGCTCCCAGAGTCATCCTGGCCCCACCTGGCAACTTCCCTCTTACCAGCTCGACTATATCAGCGATCTGAGCATTACTCTGTTCAACATAAGCCTGAAACACATGCAAACACAATATTTATACTTTCTGACCAACTCCACTCAATCATATCTGCTCTGAATGAGTTTGTGTGCGCTTGTGCTCACAGGAAGAGTGTTGTTCTGTATGGCGTCAGATACTTCACTGGTCCAGAAGATGCAGGACGCACAGATCACGACCTGACCAGGCCACAGCAGCACCCACTTCTTCCTAGGCATCTGAAACAAGCAGAATCAAACACACGTGATGGGCTGATCGTATTGTACATGTGCAGTGTTTGTGTGTGATTATACCTCTGAGTACTGCTCCATTCCTTGTTTTATGACGCCTCTGATGCTCATCAGCATTGTGTTTTCAACCTGCAGAAGCCACTTCTCAACCATTCCCTAAAAACATGATACAAATTTTAAAACGTGGGTAAATTCTCATGACGATTAATCACTTTTCCCCTGAAAGTTCTCATTACTACAATACATTTTGTGTAAATCCCATTAATCTCAACTTTTAAAAACATGCAAAGCGATGATTTTGTTTAAATGAACATATTAAAGTCTGTACAACAATTATGTACAAATACTGTAAAATTCAATTTAAATTATATATACATTTTTGACATTATGGTTTTGAGAATTGTGAGGAAAATTTTAGAAAAAGAATGTCACAATTCACAAAAATCTTAATGGTCCTAAAATAAGGCTTCATGTTTTCATGGAGCATATCCATAGAGTTTAGCTATCTATTTTAGGTAAAAATTTATACAAACAAGGGAAACAGCATATTTCAGGCGTACTCCATCTGTACCTTGGCTTTAGCTGGGTAGATGGTCTCTATTAAGGGAACAATCTCTTTCTCTGAGCTGATCATTCCTGTGATCTCCAGATCAGGGGTGAATTCTAGCTTAGCGATTCCCTCAAAACACTTCTTAAGATGAGGCTGGACACGCAGCGGATCCTTCGTCTCAGACAAGATCTCCAACATCTCATCATTAGACAGGAAGAAAAACCTAGACAGTGAGAAATAAAGTTTAGGAGACCAATGACTAATAGTGACTCTGAACACTAAACTGAGATACAAGAAGGTGTTATAACATCATTAAGAGTTAGATCTGAAAGTTTAATCGTACCGAGGGAAGAAGAGTCTCTTTGTTTCCAGGTATGAGTTCAGACCCTGCTGTATTTCCTCCAGGAAAGTGTTGGACTCCTGAAGGCGACCCAACATGTTGGGCTGCTCTGTGGCCACCAGCGCACGTGTGTCCTTCAACTGTTAAAACATTTAACACGAATATGAACATCTTGTTTATTTATTGATCATTAGTTGTTGCTGGTCATTAGTTGTAGATACAGTGATACAGCTAATACCGATCACACACACACCGCTTCAGCGACAATGTTTTTCCAGTAACTGTCTACGATGGCAAACTTGCGTCCGTTCTCTGGCATCTGGGCTATGATGTCCTCTGAGCTGAAGATGGGCTCTAGATACATCCACATGCTTTGACACTGCAACATTGCATCCAATATATCCTGTATGCTCTGCAACTTCTCCTCCCAGGTCTAAAGAGAGACAAAGCAACAGAACTATATAAAGGGTCAAGGTTCATATTATTATCATTTGATATGGTCATATTATTTACAGGATCATACTGTATTGTGTACAACTAAAAACCAGAATATTTTTATTGTGCAGAACTAAACTGCACAAGTTGTCGTGGGCGCTGTTGTTACTCATTCCATGAAAAGCTTTAATCATAATAGAAGTTATTTACATAAAGACTTCTTAAAGGTACACTAGTACAGTCAAACATAGCCATGAAAATCTGATTTTGTGGCAGGAAATAAATGGACTTGATTAGTAAAATTAAAATGCTTTTAACACAAATCTGTGCAAGTTATGCACCTTTGCATCGGCCTCCATTGGCTTGATGAATGGAGATCCTCTCATAGTCTGAGTCTTGATAATGTGATCGTCCAACAGCAGCTGAATATCATCTACTGCCGATAAAACACTTGTACCCTTTATGGACAAATATACATGCACAAATGCATAATAAGACAGAGAGAAAGAGAGAAGAATAAAATTGTTAAAATAAACAGTAGCTTTATATAACAATCAAAGTAATTTTAATGATAATAATTTTTTATATATCAGTAGTGATGCACCAAAATGTTTTTTTTTTCCTTAAACACTGAGTTTAATTTAGAGAATAAATTATATTTAACAATAAATTAACCAAATGTATTTAATAATCAACACCCAAATAAGAACAGAGTTGTATATAAACATTTAAATTACATAAAATTTAAATAGCCAGTTTTATATCAACTTTCAAACACAGTGTTTTACCGTGTCCTTATACGGGGAAAACCCAAAGCGGAGCTCAGCCCACTCTTGTTTCATTTTCTCCAGAGACTTTTCCAGAGAGAATTCCTTACTTGCGGAAGCACCGATTTCCTCCAGCCTGCAGACAGAGAGAGATTCATAAAAGAGTCAATCTGACACATTCAGATTCACACTGCACTGAGCAACATGGTTTCACAAATAATACTTTTTTTACAACCACAAATAATTTTCGATTGTCAAAGATCAGCCTTACTTGTCTGAATACTCTGAAAATCCGAGCTCCACCATCTTGAGGAGTGGGGTGTCTTTGTCCGGCTTAACATCAAATCCCACTATATTACTGATCTGATATCAGCCAAAAAAAAAATTAAAAAAAATTAGCATTCATCAAAACGAATAAATGCAACTTTAATGGCAAACTTAAACAGTAACAAAAGCAAAAAAAAAGGAATACATAAGACCTAAATTGAAGGACTAAATCAGTGAATAACTGTTTAAACCAGTACATATGCCTGAACTGTTCAGAAGAATCGATTCACTAAAATGATTCAAAATGTCAAATGTGACTGTTCCTGTAAATGCCTGTGAGTGAGTTTCACTGACAGAGATCAATAAAGCTTTGTGTATATTACTGTCATACCATCTCCCAGTGTCTGTCCTTCAGGCCTGGATTGCAGATAGTTGTCAGAATGGGAAGGTGTTGTTTGAATTTGTCAATCTTTTTCTTGAAGTTTTCTGTGACACGCCCGGGAGACGTCCGATCTGAGAAGATCTTTGTGAGTTTGTACATGGTGCGCCACATGTTTCCCAACTCCTCTGATACCGTTTCTGCATTCAGTTGCTGGAATGGACCTTGAGAGCGCATGCACAAGACATGAAAACACACACACACACACACACACACACACACACACACACACAATCGCATGTTAAACTAGTGTTCAATGTCACTGCTTTAGATGCTTTGAAACATTTGAGACAGAAAACAAAGCCTGAGACTGAAAAACAACATTGTCTAAAGTGACTAAATTATGTCTTTCTATATTATACAAATGTTTGTCCAATCAAATGCATTAATTCATGGCTGAGATGTAAAAAGGATCAAGAAATATGACAGCATGTGCTTTACCATTCATCCACACATCAGATTTGGTCTGAAAATCAAGAGCCGTGATCCACAGCTGGTCATACGGCTGTTTTTTGGCCATTATTGTCTGTAAGACTGGAAACTGAGTCTGTTCTTTGTCCAGCAAACCCTCTTCTTTATTAATGCACTGAAATAAATGCACATTTTTACATTCCATTAATATCCACTCATACTTGAAAGACTAAAAGCACACGAACAGTTTATATGTATAAGTAATAGTTACACATTTTTTCAATATTGAATGAAATATATGTATAATCAAACTTTTTTCAAATTTTTTTTTTACCTGCAATGCATGACATACTGTACTTGCAACCATAATTTCATGTTTATTTAATACACAATTTCAAGCACAAACCTCTATCTCTTTGACAGCGGCCTCCAGGCTGACGCTGATCTTATTGAGTTTCTCCACATTGATCTTGCTCTCATCCAAAGTCATCTTTTCTTTCATCTTAAAGATGTCCACCTCTTTTTCCAGGCCCTTCAGCGTCTCTTCCAACTTCCCTATTCTGAGGACGAAACGTGTGATAGCCATCAGACTTGTTTAAGTTGCGTTTGATGTGTGTGTGTGTATGCGTTTAAGCACCTTTTCATCAGATCGATCTCAGCCTGATCTTTCTGATTGTTCAGTTTATCCTTACTGACTTCAATCGAAGACAGAATCTGTTCAGGCCAGTGGATCAAAGTGCTGAACAACTTCATATCCTCCTCTGTGAAGAGAGAAAGATTTTAAGGGGGTTTTAAAGAAAAAGTGTTCCCACAAATCCCAGACAGCCCCAAATTCAAATCTAGACTGAGGGACTGTGAGTGAAAACCACATGATTGCTTGAAATATTAGTATTTGTAGTGTATTTGAGTAGTATGGTGTTGCCATAGACACAGTATTTGCATGCACATATTACGCAAAGGATGTTTGTACCTGGAAGAGTGGCGTAGTCGAGCAGGAAGTCGAGTCTCTTGACAGCTTCCTCAATCTCATGGCGGAGTTTGTGTACGGTGACTTCACTTGTGTGTCTCAGGTACTGGTTTAACTCTACCAGCTCCTCTGTGGTACTCAGCTTGCTTGTGATTCTGTCCGTAATCTCATCGTAATGATGGCATATACTAGGAGAGAATAATAAATGTTATATAGCATATATAAATGGTATATGCTATAATACCTCATACATACAAAATGTTTTGTTATTCAACAAAAAAGCAGCTAAAAACAATCACTTTTTATTTAACTGATGTGACATATTTCACAAGTTGAATGAGAAAAATAATGGAAAATATTTTTAAAAATTAAGGCTCCGCAGGTAAATAGGGTAAAAATTCACCAGATATCACCATACATTCCCCAGTTGATTATTCACAGTACAGGCAATTGTTTTGCATTACAAGTTTCTGAAATATTATGATAAACATGCAAATGAGGTATTATTTAATTAAATATGTACTATTTTGCAAAAAATACAAAATACAACAAAGAAATCTGAACATCAGTTCTAAATTTTTAATTCACATTTTAGACTTGCGTGTTTTTACAGAGCGGATTTTGGATTTCTCTTTTTACATTCCATAATTTTCACGTTTTTTGGAGAAATATTTTAAACATATACGAGGTGAATTATATATCAACTCCCTGTAAAAACCTTCTGACTATAGGTACGAATAAAACTGTATAGTTTGCTGTATGTAAATGCTGCTGAAAAGAAGTTTTGTCTGTAGTGTCTTGCTTTAAATGAAGTTGAAATTAGGTGATCCCAGGCGAAAGTTGTTTTATAATTGAAGGAAATAATGACATTTGATGAAAGATTACAAAAACAAGGTATACTTTGGAGGTATACTTTTTACATATCAATTTCATCACTTACATCTGCTGTATGTAGCAAGGTATTCTGAGTAGTATAGTTTCGACAGAGCTGAATATTAATTACATAGTGACTGATTCATTTGAAAATAATTAATTTCTGAAGAATATTTCAGGCCGTTTCCTCCCACCTCTTGTTGAGTTCTCGGTTCTCCTCCATCACAAATGTTGTGAGAAGATCTACGAGATGGTCTGCCTTGTCACACAGATCTTGGTTCAGGTTCACCGCATCCAGACAGATCAGGGAGAGTGGAACAGTCACATGCAGCGATGCAATCTCCGTCCACAAATTCTGCACACCTGTGATTTTCTACAGGTCACACAGTAGAAACATCTGGCTTTACAAGGAAGCATTTCACCCTTGTGTTATCTATAAGGCTGCAATGCACACACTAGAAAGGCTACCTTAGTAAAGCCCTGCAGTGAGTGTTTGGCTTTAAGGAAGTTCAGTATGTCCTGACGGTCCAGTAAATCAGTGTACTTCTTATACACATCCAGATACCTACACAACACACCACAGATTCACGCACAGACAAATTACAGTGTGATTCAGTCTTAAATTGAAGCTTTTCTACTGGAAAACATTTTATGATAGTGGACCTCTGGGGCCCAACGGTGTTCCACTGAAAGATCTCTCTGGCTCTGTTCACGATGTCTGTCACCAGCATCTCGTCGTGTCTCACTGAGCATAGCATTAGAGTTTCTCCCACCTCTGAGAAAAGCTTACACTCCACCTGTAAGAAAACACTTTTCAGGTTTAGGTTTAAAAAATGATGGTTAAAGTGTGCAAAATCCATTGTTCTGCTTTACATTGTGCCTAAACAATTTAATTGTAATGGAAGCAATCTAGTTTTTGTTGTGTTTTGTGAGTGTATGTGCATAATTTCTGTTAGATGCACTTTATACTTTCTGTATCTCAGATCATTTTCACTGTTTGTGTGGAAAGAATCTCTTACCAATGTAAGTAAAGATTCCAAGCCACTTAAGTCTGAAACTTGCAGATGTAAATAATGTGAGAATAAAGAAAACATCAGCAAAATCCCTTGCATCTTCTCAGGTTCACCTCAGATAAATTATTGCACTATACTATAACAACAGAAATCATTGGCAAGTCGTCTTTTAGTATATGTGCGTGTACCCGGGGTATGTTGTGGGCGCTGTCGATGATCTGTGTGAATGCATGCTGTATGAGCTCCCAGCAGCTCTCCAGTGAAGGTTCAAATGTAATTTTGGGGTCCTCAAGTCTCAATTTCACCAGTAACAATGGACGCTGCGTGTACTTCAGCTCATCAAAATACTCCCCAAAATCATTACCATCCTGCCAGAAAACACATACATATAGTACACACACACATATGTAAACAAATGCACATTTAACATGCACAGAATTGACTGTTCATGAAGCTCAAATCAATTGTAAAATGTCTAATTTATGCACTAGTGATCTTGCATATTTAACATATAAACATATTACTACTATAAATAGTTGTTGGTTGTCTGTTATTATTATTACTATTATTTTGTTTATTAATGAACGTAATATTTTATTTAAAACTTGTGCCTGTTTAATAAAATCCATAAGATACAGAAGGCAGTATGCTAGAGTGACTTTGCAGTGGTAAAATAACTGTAAAATACAGCCTTCAGTGGCTTGCACTCTCAAAAAGCATGCATCCATAAACAAACAGATATATATGTACATATATACCCATAAATGCACGCACATGCTCAGTAACTAGGTTGTATAACGCCTATAGAGCATCGGTTTAAACATATTTTAAACATATCAGTGTCACTGGTTTCAGTACCTGATGTAGCTGGAAAAACTGCAGCAGATCCTGCAGCGATGCGACCACCAGACCGCGCAGCTGCAGTGACATCAGAGCAGCCACACTGTAGAAGAGTTTCTGTGCCTTTACCGGGGAGATGCTTGCTTTCTTTGGGACCAGTGGCAACCAGGAGTCTTTAAAGGTCACAAAAAGAGAAGCACAGCGGGGCAGCCAACTACACAACACACACAAACAACAAAGGCAACAGGTGATACATAATTCTTTTTTATTTAAATTTTACCTTCATTTTACTGCTTGGCTGAATATCAAAATTCAGTTCTGGAGTTGGTATGTTCATGATACAAATTAACCAAGTTGATTTATCATTTATTTTCTGTGCTAAAAAGTACAAAATATTCTCAAATGTCTCTAATTTCAAAAGTTAAGAAAAAGTAATCTCATTGGATAAAATGATTTACATTTCAAATCCATTTAGTAATAAAAGGGTCTCTGAAATAAAAAGGTCAAGGATGCATCAGACTGCAATTCACTCTTCCTGCAGTATATCTACTGAACACTTCACACTGATTATTGCTGCAGACACCCTGCGTGTTAAAGCAGGTCCAGATTGCTCTTTATTTCCCCATTGTTCAAACCCTCATTCAGGGCTCGTATTGTGTGCTTGTCTTTGGGTGGTTTGAGGAGACCATGGATACAGAGTTGAGAACAAAGGTAGTCAAGACGAGGAGAACTGTTTAAACAACAACACATTCGACCTTATTCAAACACACATTTACCACAGTCCAGTAAATGTTCAGCATATCCCATGAGAGCATAAGGACATTGCTAGTAATTGCTTAAATGGACAAACATCAATTGTTAATATTAGTGTTATATTCTTATCTGTAAATACAAACTTGCTTTGTTTACCCAAGTTACAAACAGGAGCTCTGTTTTGTTTCTGTATCAAATCAATAAGTTTGAATGAATGACTCAGAAGACTCATTCATAATGACAGAGTGAGTTGTTTCACCACTGAATGAATCAGTGTTTTTGAACAATAGTTGAGTGAATGATTCCATTGACTCACTCACTCATAAAGACAAGTCACTTGTTTGTTCCAATGATCAATTGCAGTTTTTTAATAATTTTCATTTATTTTTTTAATTTTAATTTTTTTATTTTAGTTAAAGTTGCAGTAATTTTGTTGTGTGTTTATGTCATTATTTATTTTTATTTCAGTTTTAGTTCAAGTTCAACTAAATGAAAATAAGAAACATTGCCTTGGCAACTAACTGATTTTTTTTTACATTTTATTTTATTTCGGTTAACATTTATTTTATTTCAATTTTTTTAACAATTTTTTTTAAGTTATCAAAAACAACTGTGGTTTGTTCATCCTGAATTAATCAGTGTTGATTAATAAATCATTTGAACCACTCAAATTAACCACTCATCAGTGGGTTCATCAGGAATCAGTGTATTTGAACGAATCGGCTGAATGAATGATTCAAATGACTTGTAACTTGCCAGACATACAGCTCTTCCTTTGAGTGCAAGGCGAGCTGTAATTATAGAGCTGGATTCAGGTGACTACAGTGACAGGTTTACAGAGAACATGAGAATGAAACCTACAGACACCAAATATATCATGTGTCTCGCTACGACTTCTCAGTGTGTACTGTTTCCGTTACTGTCCACGGCAGGACGTTATTTAAACCCGACCTCACAAAAAACACAGGTCTGGTGATGTTCTGCACTTGTTTAGAACAGATATATAGATATAGAGGAAATCTCTCACGTGTTAAGCAGTTCATCTCGGGTGTTCTGACACTGTCGCCGCACCAGCTCCTCAAACTCCGCCGGCAAGAGCGGAAGATCGGCTGAGAGCAGATCATCCAAACGCACAAACCGCAGAGATGTGAAACTGTAAAAGAAACATAAAAAGATTAGAAATGGGATCATGATGATTAGGACCCTGATAGAGGAATTATAGTGGTGGCCGAAATTATTAGAACATTAGTATTTTCAATAGCTAAAAAATGGTTTTAACTCAGCTATTTCTATCTTTTGCTGTAGTGTGTCAGTAGGAAATATCAGTTTACATTTCCAAACATCCATTTGCCATTAATTGTAATAATACAGTGAGATTTTTGTTTGCACAAGGAGTCTGACAACAGCCAGTCCTCCACACAGAGATCTGATCTCATCATCATCCAGTCTGTCTGGAATAACATGAGGAAACAGAACAAACTGAGACAGACTCAATCCAGAAGCACTGTTGCAACATCTCCAAGATGCTTCAAGAAAACTACCTGCAAAATTATACGCAACTGCACTGAGGGCAAAAGCTGCGTTAAATGCAAAGGATGGTCATACCAAATGTTGATTAAATTTAGTTATAATAATAATAATAATTTATTCGTTTAGCAGACGCTTTTATCCAAAGCGACTTACAGTGCATTCAGGCTATAAATTTTTTACCAGTATGTGTGTTCCCTGGGAATTGAACCCACAACCTTTTGCGCTGCTAACGCAATGCTCTACCACTGAGCCACAGGAACAAATAAAAGATAATATATATTTAAACAAAGTAATAAAGTTAATAGAACTTAATTGATAAAGAATGTCTATTTATGACATTATTTTTGACAGCATTCTCATTTTACAGCATTTTTACGCAAGTGCCTAAAACTTTTAACAGTACTGCAGCTTTGCAGGTAGGTTTCTTGAAGCATCTTGGAGACATTGCCACAGTTCTTCTGGATTGAGTCTGTCTCAGTTTGTTCTGTTTCTTCATGTCATTCCAGACAGACTGGATGATGATCAGATCAGATCTCTGTGTAGATAGGGCTGGGCGATATGAGCAAAAATTCATATCTCGGTATTTTTTGGTGATTTGCGATATACGGTATATATCTCGGTATTTTCGTTTTTGTATTTGTATTTTAAAAAATCTGTATTTAATATATATGTATTTCACTTACCGCCCAATGTTGTCCAACAAAACAATACATATTAAAGGCTATGAAAACAAATAAAGTGAATTTAACCATGTAAGCCTTTATATTATGTGCATAAAAGGGTTAAAATCACATTTCATTCTAACAATGTAATATTGCAATCTAAAAACAAAAATAAGGCTTTTAAAGTGGAAGTTAAATTCACTAAACTAAAAATGAAAATAAATGAGAACAAAAGCACACAGTTGTGTTAGGCTATTTTGATTACCCCATTACAGTCACTTTACAGTCAGTGCTATCATAAAAATACTTACTTGTAGGTTTAAAATTCTACATGTCACATTTATTGTCCAACTACAAATATTTCAGCGAAATGTATATTTTAGTCAGAATTATTGCACTCCTATTTAATTGGCCTCAGTCTGTTTGGCGCGCATGCGCACGGTGGCGCTCGTTCAAGTCTGTGAAGTTTTAGCGGAGAATCGCAAAGCAGAAGGCTCATGCACTCCTGACAGCAAAATGAAAATATTTCCATGACTTTCTAACATTTTCAGATGGAGAATATACCAGTGAAATGCAAGTTGTGCATTCAGGAAGACAGCACATGTCAAACACATTAAACCGCGCAAGTAGCGTCACACGCAGCCATTTTGTCAGAGCATATGACAGGCCGAGCCGCTTAAACTATGCTAAACTATAAACTATACTATGTCTTACCAGTTTTTAAAGGCCTTAATATGAAGCTTGTCACATGTTTAGAACAAACTGGATTATGCACTTTCTCCACAGCAGCTCAGTCATTGTCCTCCGCTATATTTTTCAGATGCGCTCGTATCAAACTACAGTATATTAATATAAACGGTATTGCCTCATATTGTATTGCGTATAAAGAATATATCGATATATCGTAAAAACTCGATATACCGCCCAGCCCTATGTGTGGAGCACTGGCTGTTGTCAGACAAAAATCTCACTGGATTATTACAATCAATGGCAAAATGAATGTTTGGAAATGTAAACTGATATTTCCTACTGACACACTACAGCAAAAGATAGAAATAACTGACTAAAAACATTTTTTTAGCTGGTGAAAATACTAGTGTTCTAATAATTTTGGCCACTACTGTAGAGATGCCAACCTGCTCATCCAGAGATCCTGTACATGGAGCATCATAGGGTTGACGGTGCAGAGGTTCTCCGTCTGCCAGCTGTGAGCCTCTCTGTAGCTCTCGGACCAGGGAACTGGTGCACGAATGACACGGGACGGGAACGGCCAGGGGACAGCAGAGACTGACAGACGCTCTTGCTCCGCTGGATCTAGCAGGATATAATCAACTACAAAAAGAAAGTGATTATTGGCTCATTTAAAAAGCGACATACAAGTGAGGAAGTGATTCAGGCTAAAAAGACAGTAACATGAATTCGATTAATTATTTGTTTTATCACAAAAAGTCAACAAATTGGGAAGGTTGTTTTAGGTATAGGTTAAAGTTTCTTAGTATATTTTCATAGCACAATAAAAGATCATCTACAAATATGTATATTAGTGCTGTCAAACGATTAATCGCGATTAATCGCATCCAAAATAAAAGTTTTTGTTTACATAATATATGTGTGTATACTGTGTATATTTATTATATATATGTGACCCTGGACCACAAAACCAGTCTTAAGTAGCACGGGTATATTTGTAGCAATAGCCAACAATAC